CTCTGTCTCTGGTGAAGCCTCTCACCGCCCCTTAGCCTCTGGCCTGTATCCCAGTTCTGTATGCACAAATAAATAAATCTTTAAAAAAAAAAAAAGTTTGGAAAACAGTTCAGCAAGTGTCAAAATGCACAGGAAGACTCCATGGAACTCTTGAAGAACAGATTTCGGTTAATTGAAAATACACTTCAGCATATAATGCATTCACTGAAGTGAAACTCCAAGCATGTAATAAATTTACTGAAGATTAAGATGTTAATTTAACCTAGAGTGCCAGGTCAACTAGGTGAGTAGAGTGGTTTACAGATAATGTTGAAAAGTTATTTCACTACAGTCTTATATCCAGTAGAAATATACTTATTTTGTAAACATAATAAAAGGTAACTAAAAAGTCTGAGATTTAAGTCCTAGTCCTGCATGTTTTTAGTTGTATTTGACTCGTTACTTTAGCTTCAGTTTCCTCTGACAAACCTAAACAAAGAAAATCCCAGGTCATTAGACCACTATGAGGAGATATGACAGGGACCCAAGACAGAGCACTTTCAGAGACACACTAAGCAATCAATTAAGAAACTAGTGGCAGCAATCCATATATGCAATAATTAAAAGATGAAGCCAACAGAACCAAAAGGCCAAAGCCTAGTCCCTCAACACAGAACTGTAACTGTAGTGGTTCCATAAATCATTTGTAAACTCTCTCCACTCAGTACACAAAGCATTATGCTCCAGTGTGGCAAACATCAAGGAAATACATTTTCTCCCTCACATATTTCAATCTAAGAATAAACATGCAACATAATGGACCCAAAATGACAGGTTCTAAAGTACTTAGCATTTAAAAGAAGCAGAAAATCTTATTGCATGGCATGAGTTGCTATTGTAGTAGTACTGGTGGCCCCCTGCTTTCCAGTTTGTCACTGCACTTCATGAAAGACCTACATTAGTATGTCTCCACTTAAACAGAGGGAATCAGAAGAAAATTTCCCCTTTTGCTTTTCAGAAAAGGAAACTAGCATTCAGTGTTTGTTGTGCTGCACTGTTAAGGAGGCGGCATATAGCTGAGCAGGAGCAATCAAGCTGGAGGGAACTACTGGAGGTGTGTATGTAGTGTTATCATTCATGCTTTTACTATGTTAGAGTGATTTTAGGTTTTGTGTGTTATTTAATATGATTCAGTAAGTGTTTGGGTCTAGGAATGTTCAAGCATTTCCCATGTAAATTAACAGCAATCCCATCATTTTATGCCATTTCTGCTTACAAAGACTTCATAGAAATTTACCTCCTGAGTATGTTTAAGAACGTCTATGAATTTAGCTCAGATCACTCACCACCCCAAAATAAAGAGTTCACAAAAAAAAAAAACCAACTCATATATTAAAAGACACTCACTCTCATTCATAAGAGATTAATTTCTTTTAATGGTAAGGGGCTAAATATGAGGTAACAGATTGAGGAGGCTGAAGGGAAGCAGGAATTCCTAACTTGCTGGTGAGAGGAAAATGGTATAGTCTCTAAAATAGCAGGAACTAAAAAAAGTAGAAGCACATGCAATTCTTGACATAGCAATTCTACATTTTGGAATCCATCCTACAACTATACAGACCACTATTTATAATAGCAAAGGACATCAAAATACTGGTTGAATAGATGAGGAAAATTAAAATAACATGTAAAATTGTGAAAGTTGCTTTACACATGGATTTAATTTCTAATACACAATTTCAGTGAAAAAAGGTGCAGAATATTACATTTCTACTTGTGTAGGAAAAAATATGAAAAGGTTGATACATTTCTAGATTATCCCTGATAGGGACACAAACTACAAAATTAGTCACTTGTCATGATGTGGGTGGCCGTATGTACTGAACAGTGATGACAGAACTGGAAGGGCACAGGAGCCTTGTAAGTTTTCACTAGGGAGCCAGAAGCCAGGGTTGGAGTCTCAGTTTCACCACTTGTTTCACACATTATTTACTGTCTCATTTTTTCTCTCATCTATAAAATGGACTTGTAAAGTTCCTACTCCACACGTGAAGGATGATAAGCAAATGTTTTTCAAGTACATACCACAATGCCAGGGACTAGCGTAGAGTTAGTTTTCCTTAAATTTAAGCCTAGATTTTTAAAGCCATGCCTCCCGTGAGCTTGGTTCTAAAATAAAATACACAGACTTTACATTTGATAGGTATAGCAAAGGAAGAGGGAGCTTATCAAAGATGATGGTACAATGGATATTGAGGAGTTACCTACACAAAAGTATTCTTAAAACAGATAAATTCTTCTAGGGACAAAGTCTGGATAGAAATCAAAGGCCTGAGTAAAACCGACTGGATGTAGAAAGTCACATGAAGTGTGATTAGAAAGGTACAGTGTCTCATTTAAAAATGAAGTGCAAGAAGAGAATCCTGTCAAATTTCTAGTAACAATAAAAAATGTCATTTACATTTGTGAATTTTGTTTTAAATCATTCATGAGTTCACTAGATCATAATAATGTGATGAAGTACAGTCATTACCTCCATTTTTATAAGTGGAGAAAAACCTAGAGACTAAACTACTAAATTATACAGTTAGTAAGTTATAAGATATTAAAACCACAGATTTATATAATAGTCAACTGTAGCAATTCTCTAAGAGTCAGGAAATTATAAATATTAATTTCATGAATGTGCCCTCCCATATTCAAAAATAAAAACAATGACAAAATAAAGGACTGTTAAACTTAACCAATAAATAAAAAACATGCATTTTCATAGAATTTTTCCTATTTGCCCAAGTCAATGAGTACCTCCCATCTATTCTTACTCATTTTCAAAATTCTTTTATTCTCCTAAAAATAACTTGAGCACTTTTTACCAGCCAGATATAACTCCTGATCCTCCTCATTCTCTAAGAGGAGGACACTGTTAAGTATACTTTTAATCCAATGTCATATAACACTGCAGTGATATATACAAAAGCAGCTGATCCAATCCTGGGGAGTGGCAGGTGTGGTTATGGATAGAAGACAAATGAAAGATGCATGGGAGTTAATCAAATAACACACCTACAGAAAGGGAGGAAGGTTTCAGGCAGCATGGCTACGAAAAGGCTTCAGAGTGATCAATAATGCTTATACCACAAAACCGCAATATCCATTCCAATTTTAATTGTTACCTTTTATTATTTTACAATATATTTCAAAAAACTGTCATTACAGTTGCCTTAATTGCTCTAAGACTTGGAATAAAAGAACACTCAGAATTAGAACACACAAACAGCAAGCTGTAAAACCGACGTATACTGTACCATTACCACCAAAGGGATGTACTTTTTAAAATAAGCAGATGTGTGGCAATGCAAAACAAAATACAAACTTGTTAGAATAAACGTTGTTGTAATGGCTATAGAAAGGAGTTTCTGTTTGTTTTTTTCCCCAACGTATCTGGTTCTGGTAGCAAGTTGTATTGTGCATTTGAAGCAATACATGTCTGGGAAGCTTATTATTTTCAGTTGTATGTGTAACATGAAATGAGAGCCCAAGGTGTGTGAACTTAAAATCTTATTGCTGATGGCATTTCACATATTTTTCTCCAGTAACACTGGATGCTTTAAATTTTCTCTAAAAGAGAAGCAATGAGATACAAGAAAACCCTCCAGGATCCAATTTTCACTCCACATTCCCTATGTAGTAAAATAGCAGCTCTACATGTTGATGAAAAGAATTTCAATTTATTAGTTTATAACCATATTAATACTAAAATTTATCTGGATTTCCAAAAAGAAAATTTTAGTTGCCAAATATTTCAGAAATTTAATAAAGCATTACATATATGTAGTTAGCTCTTATCTACCAAAATATATGTGTTGTATATATGTATACCTACTTATCTTAACCTCCATTGAAAATTTTTATTTTCTGGCTAGACATAAGAAACAAGAATGAGTAGACCAATGCTGGCTTTATTTCTTCATAAGCAATTATTTGAGTCTTTTTTTTTTTTTTCATTCAGTGTGACCACATGTTCAGATTTTATAAAAGGCAATATAAGGAAACACCTACTGAATAGGCATCTGCCAAGCAATTTGTAGCTTAGACACTACCAAATGGCACCATGGCATTACAGGCATTCACCTTTTGTTATCTTTTTTCAAGTTTGTCAGTTTTTTACTACTATATTTTTCCCCAGGGGTTTGTATATAATCACAGAGTAAGCCCCAGAGTTGCTCCCAATATTATGGTGGACAATACTCTCAAGAGCTGACATAAACCAAAATGAAGAGCAGTCAGAACCACGGCTAGTCACATTCAAATAGTCTTCAATAGCACTTTGCTGATAATACATGTTTCCTTCTTCATGACTCATTTTGTATTAAAATTATAACAACAAATTGCAAAGCTTTTGCTTGCTAAGTTATATTTTTAGAGGACCACTACATTCAAATGAATATATTTTTAATCCACAAAATGTCATTAGTGATATCTTTTTTATAACATGGTTGGCAAAATAAAAAAGGCACAAGACGGGGCAAGGGGTGTTGAGAAATGTTTTTAACTTTCAGCGAGGAGTACCAAAGCAAGAATCTTTCATGAAGGAAAGCAAAGAAGAATGTTCAGTAATTCATGCACAACTTGAACTAAAAAACTTTTCTTCAGATAGGTCCTGAGGCTTAAGGAGAAAACAGGTTTTCCTAATCACGTGCTTCATGTAAAATAAAATATAAAGCTGCACATGTTTGGTTTTACGGTGGACCCATGTTTTTATAAAAGTGAGGCAATTAAACAAAGGAAAATAGAACCAAAATACCTTCATAAAGCAACTCCACTTGTAGCCTCTGTCCTTTTTACCACTGCGGTAAATGTCAAAAAAAAAAAAAAAAGTAAAATGCAGCATACACAATCATAATCTAAAAACTTTTCATGATAACTTATTGCAAATTGCACTTGACAGTTCACCACAACAATGGAAAACTGGCCCCTTGTTGGTTCACGCAGTCCTTGAGCCACAAATTGAAGTCACCAATAAAATGATCTGGATAAAAAGTTTGCAGCTGTGCTCAGCCAGCTAGCTCCACCTTCTGGGTGTGAGCCAACCCGGGACACTGCTTTGTCCTGCTCCTTCGTGGGACTCTCATCCTCAGGCAGGTAGTCAGGCAGCTCTGTATTCTGCTCTACTTCCACAGGTGTATCTTGGAAAGGGACCAGCATCTGAGACAGAACATTTTGACAGTTATTACATAATCAAACCTAACTGATAACGGTCTTAAGTTGGAGGCTAACTTTACTCCTCATTCTGATCACTTCATTTATTTTCTGGGGCACAATTCTTTCAAAAAAATTTCCTCTTACATGAAGATGGACCAATTGCTTAGCACTGTGTATGCACAAAAAGGCAGAAACTACACATGAAAACTCAGATAATTCTTCCTCTTAGGTTCTATGGATAAGTGTGCAAACCTCTCTCTACTTAGTAAAGATGATAATGCAGGTATTTGGTTACTGTGGGCGCCTGAATCTCCTTGTATGGAGTCTCAAATGAGCTTAAGGCATATAGATTTGCTTTCCTGATCACTATCACAAAGCTAATCGAAAAAGTAGTAACAGGCAAATATAGTTTCCTATATTTACATGACCAGTGGTGGAACTCAACTTTTATTTTCTGGATTGGCAAAACTATTAGTTAGAAAATACTTTAAAACCAGATGCAATTTTACTTCTCAAAGTATTAACTAAGTAACATTATAATAATTGGTCCAATCACTCTTTTCTATTTAGCAATTAATAATCTAGAAATACTATCTGCTAGCCATAAAGAACAGTCAAGAGTAAGAGTCAGATGTAAAGAAACTTAAAAATTTTTACCTCTTCTCCACTTTCACTTTTCACAACTTGCTGAGCTTTCATAACTTTCGTTGATGCTATTGCTGATGCCAAAGCCTACGCCAGATTACAAGGGTATAGTTATGAACAATGACTTGTTTACCTGTAACTGCAAACATAGTCATTTAAAATACTCACCTCTGCTTTCAGATCTGAACGGATTCTCACCACACACCTTTGAACGGCCATTTGAAAAGTAAAGCTAATAACGCCTTTAATTTTTAACAAAGCCTCTTCACACAGATTTCTCCGAGACTGCAAAAGTAAAATCAAATTGTTAATGCTGACAAAACAGCAGAAGCAACATAGTAAGTCAACTCAAACTGTAATGATGTAACTGTTGTGTTGAGCAGGGAGAAGAAAGGGGAATATTCAAGTCTGTTTTACCATCTCACATTTGAGGGCACAGAGTGGGTGGTGCTTAGTAAATTTATGAAAACAAATGAGGTTAACAGACTTGTAATTCAAGCTAGATTTTAAAAACTTTATTCCTAATACTTAATTTTAATCAGAAAAAAGTCAGCCAATGCTTGTTTAAATCTTAAGCATATCCAACAGAATAGAGAAAACATGCTGAATAGCAGAGGTTTCTCTAACTAAAGGATGAGTAATCTATAGCCTGCCAGCTGTTTCTGTAAGTAGTTTACTAAACACAGTCATGCACATTTATTTATATACTGTCTGAAGCTACTTTCGTGCTACAGCAGAGGTAATAGTAATAGCAAAAAGTGCAGCCTGCAAAACCTAAAATATTCACTATCTGGCATTTTAAACAATATTGCTGATTCTGGTCTATCTTAAAAATATGTAGGTAAAATCTAGTAGACGGAAGTTAGAGTTAGTGGGCATTCTTTAAAGCACCTGGTTATTATAAATATTACTGTGTTTTTCACTAATGGCATATCAATGGTCACCACAACATTCAAGGGTTATCACCATTCCCTTTTTGGTTCTCATTTTCCTAAAACAATACAACATAATCAACACCCTTCAATGCTTATCTGACACCAGTATCACACTGCCTTGGTCCTCAACTTACACCATCATCCCTATCTCATCTTAACTGTAAGATCCAATGTCTAAAATTAAGTGATTTCCTTTTTACACTGTCCCTCAGTGGACTATTCTCATCACTCCAGCCATTATCACCATGTAGAAGCACAGACATATTATAAATATAACTATTTTCATTTATCTATCAGACATATTTACTTGGGTATCAAGTGATCCAAACAGAAAATATATTAAAAACTACAGTTTCTCTTCATCCATTTCTCTCTCTAGCAATATATCAATTTGCCATCATTAAATCTGTTTCTTCAGAGACCAGCTTTTCATTCACTTACTTCTTAGGAGGACAGTAGCGTGCAGTTGATCCCAAGTCTCTGGATCACAAATTCAAAAAATCTACCTTTGAATTACTCAATCCTTTCTCTTCTATCTAGTAAAGTCAGTCTTCCAACTCACTCCCTCATTGTTCAAAACAATTTATATCATTGCTTATCTTCCTACTTAAATCACATTTCCATTTCTACATTTCAACATTCTGTTGACAGGGATCTGGGATCCAGTGATACATGGCAGCAATGTAAATCCATGGAGGCTCAGCTAGTGCAGTGATTCTTAAAGGTTCTATAAAGCTCCTATAGGTAACAGGTTTATACTCACTTCTTTCACATATTCAACATCAAATAAACTTAAAATTGAAGAATATTTCTGTAGCATATACAGCATATTGTTAGGATACTTCTATGGTCTAGTCTGATTCCATATTTTAAATACGAGGAAAGCAAAAGAAAAGCAACTATGCAACTAGCCTAGTTTATCACAGGCAAAGAGCCTGGCACTAAATTCCAACTATATGTGACAGTAAGAACCAGATTCATGAAGCCAATTCATCTTTGTTTTAACACAAATTAACATATTTCAACATGCGCAGCCTAGGGAATGGTGCACTAAGGAAAATTCAATACTAAGATTTGATGTCAGGAAGTTATTTCCGGAAAAAATGTTAGAGCTTCAAAAAAGCAAACAGGATCAAGAATTAGCTACAGAAGATGAATAACCTATTGACTGATCCAGAGCCAAAATCTGGTTGAGAAAACCCTACGTAGGTAAATTTAGGATTTGGGTAAAGAGGTAGATAAGTCAAAATTAACTGTCTTGCAGTGGGAAATAGAAAAGTATGTGAGGGTATGTACATACTAAGAGAGTGTCAATTATAAGAACAAAGGTAGTGGTTACCAATTTCTAAAGACTCCACAGTTGAGGGGAAAAAAAATCAAGTTTCATATACTATTGATATTAACATTTTAATACAGTGTTAAAGTTAACTTGCTAATATTTTGGATTTTAGTAATCGCATTCATATGACATGGACAATACTTTTGTGTGTGCTTTGTTGGGTTTTATTTTTGGTTTGTGCTACAGTATTTGATTCGTGAACTGTATTACCCAAATTTATTAAAATGTATTTTGTTTGTATGTATTTTATATATTCTAATAACCTCCGTTCAATTTACTAAAATTTACCAGAACTTACTTTCTAGCCACGTCAGACATTGTGGTCCCAGTAAGATAAGTGTTAACTTACTTGGCCATGTAATGAATAATATGTGTATGAAAGCCTCTTCCCTGCCCTTTCTTAATGAATCCTGTATCTTAAGGTATAAGTAATCCTACACTACAACTAGAAAATGTTGTGGATATTCTAATGTAACCTACTTGGCATAGTTAAAGACATAAATGGTAATCTGCCAGTTGTTACCTCTCTCTCTCTGTCTCTTATATATACACACACACACATATATGTGTGTGTGTGTGTGTGTGTAAAGTTATATAACTTATTATGCTCAAGATAATCTCAAGGAAACTTCCAACTCCAGTCAAGATGGAGTAACAAGAATCTGATTTACCCTCCAGACTTAACCAACCAAATCACGGACAAAATAAAGTGAATAAAACAATGGTTTCCAGATATTAGAAAACAAGCATTCACAAAAAAGGAAAATAAACGAAGTGAGCGCCACAATTACACCAACATGTTACACAGGAAACTTCCAAGTTGCAACTCAGAAAGGGGAAACCCATTCAGAACCAGCAGTTTTGTGAAGCTGGGGACAAACAGTGAAAATTCAAGGAAGTTCAGGGAGCTAGAATTCACAGGACAGAACACAGAAGAGGGCAGAGGAACAGGGCCACACAGACGGAAAGCATGTGCTAATGAGTGCCCCTCAGGTTTTCAGCTAAGTGAGATTCAATGCAAACACTGAGGGTAAAAAGTCAGGCTGGCAAGGAATAGTCGGGAATAATTCTATAGGCTCAAGCAAGGCTAGGAATACTTACTGTTCCAATCAGTCAGAGTGGAGGAAAAATCTTGATCTTCATAGGGTAGGAACAGAATACCCAGAGGAGATTTATTGCCTCAGTAGTGAGAAAATCATTATCCCTAGGTTAAAGGATACTATGGTCCTGCCTAACAAAGGTTAAAGCAAGCCTCAAAAAGAGCTATTTGCAAGTAACTTTAACTGTGATCCTGAAAAAAAAATCCAAGAGTATTTAAAAGCTCTGCATGTATGTTATACCCAATAAAGTAAAATTTGCCATGCTATCCAATCAAAAATTATCAGTCACACAAAGAAGAAATTACAACCTGTAATAATAATATAAAAAAACCAAGGAATAGAAACTGAAATATTGCAGATGATTGAATTAGAAGATAACACTAAAACAATTATTCTAACCAAATTTTGTTTGAATATGTTCAAGTAGAGAGAAAAGTATAAACATATTTAAAAGATTTATGACATACTCAGTGAAAATGAATCAAAAAAGACCCAAATTAAACTTCTAGATGGGTACAATTAAGAACAGTGCAGATGACATTAACAGAAAATTAAATACCTGCCGAAGAAAACTTTTAACAAATACAGGAATAGAAACTATCCAAAAGGTAACACAGATTAAAAAAGAGGGCCCTCCCTGGTGGCACAGCAGGTTTAAAGCACCACACTAAGAAACTAAAGCCATTTCCACATGAGTTTGATCCCTCCCCCCCAAATGGAGGTGATCCATCCATATGGAGTGGCAGACCTCTCCTGACCCGCCCACTGCTCCCCTCAGCAGTGTACTTCGACAGTCAACCTGTTTCTGCTCCCCACTCTGTCTCTGGTGAATTCTCTCATCACCCCTGCACCTCTGGCCTGTACCCAAGTTCTGTACGCACAAATAAGTAAATCTTAAAAAGAAAAAAGGTTGAACAAGAAATTAAGAGAAAAGGAGCAAATTCTGAGATATCACATGCTTGAATATCCATGCAACAGAAATCCCTGAAACTCTGAGGTAAGAAGAGGACAGAAAAAACACAGGGAAGAAACAATGGAACATTTGCTACATTTATTATTTTTATTTATCATGTCAAAGATTCACTTTTGATTTCACTGATTTTTCTCTTATTTTTCCTCTGATTTCTACTGTTGCCTCTTTCCTATTAACTTGAGATTTACTCTTTTTCTAGTTTCTTAAAGTAGAAGTTTAAGTCATTGAGCCTATTTCTCTTATGTAAATGAACATCTAGGTATTTGGTGTTAATCTCTTTCAAACACTACTTCCCATAAACTCTGATACGACATTTTCATTTTTGTTCAGTTCAGAATGTTTTCTAATGTCTCCAATTATCCACACATAACTTTAGAAATGTATTATTTAGTGTCCAAAATATTTAGGGGATCTTTCAAGTTTCTGTTACTGATATGTAACTCGGTTTTCACTGCGTTCAAAAAACAAACTTTGCATGGTTCTATTTCTCTCAAATTTATTAAGAATTGTCACATAGCCTACAATACACTATATCTTGGTAAATGTTCCATATACACATGAAAGAATATTATCTTGCTTTCAGTAAGGTATTCTATAAATACAATTATACGAAGTTAGTTGTTAGTATTATTTGAATCTTACATAACCTTAATGATTTTCTGTACACTTTAATGAATGATGTTTAAATGTCTATTCTGTCTAGTTCTTTGTCAGTTTTTGAATGATCTTTGTGTTTGTAAGTCTTACCGTATCATCGAGACCATCTATATGCAAAACCACTGTTTTGGCACGTTTGTTTGTGGTTCCCAGAAAAAACTGAGCTTTCCTTCGGCGTGAATTCATCTCATTGAAGCTATCACCATCCGCCATGTTGGAAGATTGAAGAATGTCATAGATTTCAGAGGCCAGCAGTTTTGTTTCTCCTGGAGTTGTAGTCCTTCAAAAAAAAAAAAAAAAAAGCCATTAAATTAATAAATTATCTTTGCCACATCTAATGATTCTGTAATTTTATTCCTAAACTTTGAGGAGTCTCTTTTCTTCTTTGTGATGCTTTCTTGAATTTTTAAGAAATACCAATGAATCCTAGAATAATCAATAATGTAATAGTATCTAGGCTATAATAAATTATTCTAACATGGTTCATTGAGATTCAAAATATCACTAAGGTGATTTAAAAGCACACAATTCAAAATCACTAATTAAACAGGAAACCATCTAAAAAGCCCAAGATGTCATGTCTGTGATTAACAAACATTCACTTTGTTTGACGGTACCCTGGCCTTCAAGAAAACAAAGTGTTCGAAAATCCAAAAGGAGAAAACAAATTAAGAGAGGATCATTCATATTACAGTTATTCAAAGAAATTTCTTAGTAAATTTAAACTGAGTCTGCTTCTTACATTTTATACATCTTTTAGTAAGCATGTATATCATAAAATGACAGCTCTAACCGAAGCTTTTGTTCTTAAAATTTTTAAATCTTACCGAAGTCCCTCACATAAACAACCAGTGCGATGGTCTCCAACAGAACTTTCTGTGTTGATGGTAATTCCTGCACTACTAGCCATATATAGTACTGAGCACTTGAAAAACTAAAATAAAAAAATCCCAAATTTTATTTACCTTTAATTAAATTCAGAGTAACATGGCAAGTAACTGGATAGCAGAGATTTGATGGCTTTTTATTAAGTGAATAAGTTATAAGTACAAACCTCTAAGAAAATAATCCTCATTTCACCTCAGGACTTAATTAAATCTCAGGACTCAATTAAGTTTAAACCCTTTAACATTTATTCAAGGCCTTTGAAATTTGTTCCCACTCAGCCTACCACCATCAGCTTATTTTCTTTTTAAAATGCCTTTCCCGTAATCTGAAGAACTTCACCTGTATGCTTTCAAATTCCTATTCTCTAAAGGTTTAACTGTCATCTTTATGAAGACTCTTCCCTGCAACAATCCATTTTTCCTCTCTATTTTCAAGGCACTTTTACTCTTTCTCCTGACCATAATTTCCTATTTCTTCTTTTTCAAGAACAGGGATTCTATGTCTTCTACGAAACCTCAAAAAAATTTTGTACTCTATTTGTTCACTGATTTAATAGAAATACTTTAGTTTCTGACTATAGGGTTTAGACCCACAAAACTTCGACTTCAGGGGTGCTAATCTGGTAGTTTTTCTGAACACTCAATTTACTGTTACAGGTGCTTATCTGGATTACTGCTGACCACAGAGATAAATTACATCTAATGATTTTGGCTTTGTATTGCAGGAAGACTTTTTTAAGTTGATGTCTCAGCATTTTCTGAGAGCTGTTCAAAATTTATTGAAAAGGTCACTGCAGTTCTGTTACTTTAAATATTAGACAACCACAAGGTGTAAAGTATGAGGATACATTGGTTACAGGCACTCATAAACTTAAAAGTTAAAAAGAAGAGGATGTCTTTGTCACCCCTTATCACTATGATTATTATTTGTAATACTTGCAGCAAATAAAAACAGAATGAATCAATGGGACACATAATAGAAGATTAAATTAATAATATTACACAAATTTTAAAAACACATTAAGAAGAACTCATAACTTTTCAATTTATTGTTTCCTGATGAAACAACAGTGATATAAAATAGTAAAAAAGACTATGTATTAAATAATCTTTCTATTCTATGGAAGCAAAATGGGGCTCTTAACCCTTTTATGTCTGACATAAAGGTAAAGACTGTTTCACAGGAAAAATGCAAGTAAAAGATTTTCCCCAATCCTCTATCTTATAACAATCTCAAAGACTTAAGATGGTTCAAGATTTTTTTTTTTAGTTATTTAGAATTGGAAAGGATAACCCATGTAGCAATTCTATCCAATGTACACACATTGACTCAGTAATTCTCCCACTGTAATTTAATAATCAAGGAAATCAAAATAATTTAAAATATTGAAATAATCTTTTATGTAGTTAAGCAAAGAAGTTTAAAAATACTGTCCAACATAACTTTCAAAAATTAGAAACAAAAAAATTCAAGTAGAAAAAAAATCTAGTTATATGGATTCCTCAGCAGAGCCAAAAAGAAAGTGCTGACTCTGTGTTAAATAATCACCAAAAAGACACTGAAAAAAAAAAAAACTACAAAGGATGTGGAACATAACTGCAGTCATTAAAAATGATACTGCAGGAAAATGGCTTTATGGAAGAGTGCTCTCAATACAGTAAGTAAATTACTACTACTGTCCAGTTGGCTCAGATTTCTCAGAAACTATAAATATCAAGGCAAAAACAGCAATATTTTCAATATCTAAAGAAAAGATGAACCAGGATAAACTACAAATCAGTTCCACTGTCCTTCAAGCACAAAATTACTGAAAATATCTTAAACACGAAAAGAACTCAAGGAATAGTTGAGTCATTCTTGATCAATCTACAAGACAATGAGCTTAAACTAGGTGACTGGAAAAACTTAGCCAGGGGATTACTGTTACACTTTTTATGTATTAACTATACATTAAAGTATAAAGCAAAAGTGAAAAGAGAATGGAATATGTAAATGTTCTGATAGAACAGAAGTAATGTGCAACCTAGAAAAAGGAAGAAGAGGTAAGCAAAAAAAGTTTAATGACGACAAAACACATAGAAGGTTGGAGTCAAAAGATACCATTAAAAAGTAACAAGTAAAGAGTTTAGACAGGCAATTAATTCAAAACACTTTTTAATAGTAGAAATGCAAAGGCAATCACTTAGAAAGTCAAATTTTTGATATAAGTATTTGAAGAAAATTTCAAAACAAACATATGGTAACTACAATGTAAATGAGCTAAGAGGAAATAAATATACCAATCACACTAATAAATACAAATGGACTCAGCACAATAATTTTAAAAAATTTTCAATTAGTTCACAAAACATATTTCAGAAACAAAGGACTAGACAGATTTAAACCAGATAATATAGCAGAACAGTGGTTGTGTATTGATAAAAGAAAGTAGAATTTTAGTCCTAAGTTAAAGCATTAAACTTGACAAAGAGCACTTTTTTTGATCCTACAAGACATTTTTCACAATGAATATATGTTATGAACACATGTATGCCAAAATAACATTAGAGGATGTTAAGCAAATCTGGTAAAACATTAAAATTTGGAGAATCAAGGTAGGGTATCTAGGTACAGTTAACTATTTTTTTTTTAACAGTTAATATTTTTACAAATTTTCTGTAAGCCCCATCTCATTTCAATCTAACAAATATATGAACATATTTATGGACTTTTTTGTTTTTACATTTAAAATATTTTATAAACCACACACTGCACATTTGTAATAAACTTTAAAATGACATTAAAAACTTTTTTTTTTGTCTTTTGGCTAAGATCAATAGGCAAAAAAAAAAAAAAAATTAAAAGAACATAGGGGAAAAAAGCATTAAAAAAATAAAGGACATAATGTCATCCAAACTTTTAGCAAGAAGATTTGACCACCATTTCTATGGAACTGTTTGAAAATCTCCAGGTAAAATGAGGTATTTTAAAGTTGTGTGGCCACATTTTATTACAGTGATTTTTATTTATAGTATATTGCATGTTAGATATCATTAAATGCATTTATAAAATGCATCTTATATCAGAGGTATTACTCCTGAAAAACTAAGTCATAAAATGTCTTAAACTGGACTGAAATATGCTCCTAAATTGACATACTGAAAATTCTCTTCACAAAGGGATCCAGGATTTAAAGCAAAACATAAAAAGGTTCTAACCTCTAATGACAAGTTTTTATTTACGGAAAAGGCTAAAATTAGAACATAATGCCAGATTCACTCCGAGTGGCAAAGAACTTAAAATCCTCTTCACCATTAAAAAAACTGAAGTAACAGTGAGTTTGAAGTCAATTCAATACTTGGATCTTTTAAGTATCGATGTGACTTCAACACAAGCAAAATCTTTAGTTGAATAACATGTTAACTATATAAGAAAGGGAAGACAGGGTTCTCTCTGGTGGCCCAACAGGTTAAAAGCACAACACTATGAAGCTGTCAGCAAGCCACTGCAGCACAAGTTCAATCCGCAGCCAGGAGGTGACCCACATAGTGTAGCAGACCTCTCCTGTCTCACCTGCTGCTCCCCTTAGCAGTGTATTTCAATAGATCCGCCTCTTTTGCTCCCCACTGTGTCTCTGGCGAATTCTTTCACCCCCAGTACCTCTTGCCTGTACAATGGTTCTTGTATGCAAATTTAAGTAAATTGGAGGGGGAGGGGGGGAGATAA